AATAATTCATTTATTTGCGCACTTATTTATGAACACCTTTAAAAAATTTAAAAAATAAACACTAACCTTATCGACCTCCTACCATGCAGGATAAAGTTTAGCTTGTCCATTGCCCAACGAAAATGATTCATCTCGTTGATTCTTCAAGTGAACTGCGTGAAAAGCCACCGGCATTATTGTATATCGCGAATTTTTTTTATTTTTCCTAAGCTTCCTTATTATTAGAAGACGTGACACCCACGCATCGATATGTTGTTATACAAAAAAAGACATATATTAGTGAATTACATTAATTTTTAAAAAAATTAATCAAAATCATATATAAGACAAATATAAGACTTACCTCCCCATCGAAATAGCCACTGTCTTCAACCCCTAATAACACACCCCACCAAGACTGATTAAGCAACAAATACATCTCATCGTTAAGTTTGCTTATGTCAGTGTAACACCCTTGGCTCCGCTCATGTAGATAAAAATCAACTGCGGTCTTAGCCCAAAGGGTATTATCCAGAATTGTTTCCGGTAGTTGTCTCCTCTCCACTTCAGATACTGGAAGGGTACTAGCCGGTAACTCATATGAGAGCCAACTCTCATCCATCATGTCCGACAACGGTTGGGGTTTCTCAATAATTCGATATATTACCCCATGTGAATCGGGCTCTGGAATGGTGGGAGGGACCTCTTCAACGATGACAGTAGCCTCTTGAACGGTGGTGGGGGGACTCTTGAGGGATGATAGGGGCCTCTTGAACGATTGGAGGGGATTCTTGAGGGATGACAGGTGAGTCGGGCTTCTTCTTGCGGAGTCTTCGCACCATTGGGGTGAACGGAGATGTAATAGCACGTGCACGCTGTCTGATGCGTGAACTCCGTCGTGCAAGGAAAACCTGACATAAAGCATCCACCTTATCGGGCCGCTAAAAAAAATTAATACATAAATCAGTAAATAAACAGACATGATATTAAACAAAGACAAATATGTTTCAAACTTGAATTGTATTCACCCAAGTCATTATTCTATCATAGTTCACAAAATGCATCATATAACATTCCAGAAGTAAGCACTTATATAAACATTAAAAAGGATAACATATATAAACATTCCAGAAGAAGAATAGTTTACTTTCGCAACACGAAACTTACTTTCGCAACACGAAAATGACTATCGCAACGCGGAAATGGCTATCGCAACGCGAAATGAAAATCGCAACGACAAAATCGCAATGCGAAATGAAAATCGCAACGCGAAACACAAATCGCATTGCGATTTTCATTTCGCGTTGCGATTTTCATTTCGCATTGCGATTTTGTCGTTGCGATTTTCATTTCGCACTACGATAGCCATTTCCGCGTTGCGATAGTCATTTTTGTGTTGCGAAAGTAAACTATTCTTCTTCTGCAAATTGAAACTTGAATGGATTGCATTACTTCAACCAAAAGACAAAAAAAAACCAAAAACAAATACTAACAAAAATAGTTTAGCAGTATTGGCAGCAACCGAATGAATTTATTAAGCAATCTAAGTGAAATGGTTAATCTAAGTGAAATTACGAGTAAATTTATCATCAAGTTAAATATGAAAAATCTTAAACTTACCTCGTTGCGTAGAGTATGAACCTCATTCTACAATGATGCTACCATCTCACGTAGAGCGGCTACCTCACTGCGTAAAGTAGACACATCAACACGCCATGCACCATCGTCTTTGCGTAAAGTACCGACCTCCTCACGCAAGACATTGACCTCATCACGTAACTCCCCTAACTCATCCCTTGGAGGTGGAGAACAGGGAGATAAACGTCGTGGCATCTTTGACGGTCGCCTATCTTGCGGTGATGGTGGAGAAGAGGCTCGATGATGTGACAGAATAGGTGATGACTGTCGTTGTGGAGGTGTATAGTCGGGTCGATCAGGTGATGGCTCTGGGTGAGGTGATAGCTCTGGGTGAGGTGATGGCTCCCGAAGTGGAGGCTGCTCATCATCCGTGCCATCAAAAAAACGCTTACTAGCTTGCCACCAATCAGTGGCAAGCTCAGCTTCCGTGGGTGTCAGCCTCTGTAATGGAGTGTTGGCCTCCTAACAATATAAAAGCTCAAACAAAGTTAAACGTGTACTAGTAATAACTTGTTTATAAACATATGGTAGTATTTATGTTAACTTACATTATTTATTGTCGTATACCGTAGTAAATCTTCCCATTGCAAGGTTCGTTTCCTCTTTCAGGAAATAGCCCTAGGAATATCATTTGAAGTTTTTATTGCATATGTCTTCATGGCGGGAAAGGCCTCAAATATCCAAATCTACAAACAATATAATAACAAACATTAGTAATTGTTAATAATTACTTATAATTTTGGAAACATTATATAAAAATTCTTACCTTAAAGGCCCAAATAAAGCCTGTCAAAGTGTATTTGGAACCATCGCCATGCAAACTTTTTTGATCATCCAAGGCAGACGATAACTTATTCCATGTAGCTTTCCATAAATACGAGCCCCACGGAAACAGGTTCCACGCATTTAGGTCTTCTACCAATTTGATTAGATCATTCGGAATAGGTTGTCTGGCCTCTCTGCCTAAAAAGCCGGCATGCAAAAGTATTAGAAGGCATACTCGGACAACATCGACGTCATCCATCCGAGTAAAACCATCTTTCTTATTCAATAATCTTATCAGGTCTTCCACATGTAGATTCGGCCTCTCCAGCTCAGGAAAAACCCGGGATAACCATGATGGGCGGGTAATGTGTCTAGTGTACCGACCTACATCATCGTGTCCGAAGCGTAGACCGGTGATTAAGCAAAACTCCTCCCGCCCAAAACAAATATACGCCGGTGGAAAATCAAACCATATCTCTTCATCACAACGTTGTATAGTATCTGGTAGATCGCTAGTCATGGTTTGAAGAAACAGGTGTGTCAACATCGCATCTCCACCGGGATGTTGTACTTTCAGCCATGGCCCGAAGCAAGTATCCTCAAACATTTTTCTTTGTGCAGGTGAAAGCTTCGACGCAATTGTTTTGGCAAGGCTGACTTTATTTCTTAAGGTCAATTGAGCCGAATAAAAGTTCTACAAAAACAATAAACATACTAAGTTAGATATACCAAAAACAATAATAAACATAAAGAGTAGTAGTTTATTCTTCAAACTTAAATTTGCAACACTGTGAATTTCGTATTTGTCTTTATTTTTTTGGTTGAAGTAATGCAATTCATTCAAGTTTCAATTTGCAGAAGAAGAATAGTTTCTGAAAATGAAAATCGCAACACGAAAATGACTATCGCAACGAGAGAATCGCAACGCGAAACTAAAATCGCGTTGCGATTTTGTCGTTGCGATTTTCATTTCGTGTTGCGATTCTCGGTTGATTTAATAAGCAATCTAAGTGAAATGGTTAATCTATTATTGAAATTACCAGTAAACTTATCATCAATTTCAATATGAAAAACCTAATAATAATGCAAAAAATTTCAAAAAGAAAATAATTAAAAAAACTAACCATCGGTGGTTGATTTGGTTGATTTTCCATTTCTGATTGTGAGGGTGGCTCTGAGAGATGGAGATAGACGGATTTCGCCGGAGATGGGGACGGATTTCGTCGGAGATGGGTGAGAGAGTGAGAGATGGAGATGGGACTGAGTTGTGATTTTAGGTTTTAGGTTATGAGTTACGATTACGGGATATACTGTGGACGGTTCAGTGTTCTAATATATTAATATTCGTGTTTGAAATTTGAAAATAAAATACGCGTTGCGATACTAATGGCGCTTTGAAAATCGCATTGCGATTATGTATTATCTCGTTGCGAAAGTCAGTATCGCGTTGCGAAAGTAAGTATCGCGTTGCGAAAGTCAGTATCGCGTTGCGATTTTGTATTATCGCGTTGCGATAGTCAGTATCGCATTGCGATTTTCCCAATTCGCGTTGCGATTTACTTATTCGCATTGCGAATTGGGAAAATCGCAACGCGAAATTGGAAAATCACATTGCGATAGTCATAATCGCGTTGCGAATCTTGAAACTGATTTGCGATAATGGAGATCGCGTTGCGAATTAGCGATCGCATTGCGATTTTGTTGGTCATTTTGGCAAATCCGGAAAAAGTTGGTTAAAAATCGTATATTATATGTGATTTTTGGTCACTAAAGGAAAAGAATAACCAGGTAAACGAGCTTGTTCATGAATATAAGTAAATGAGTTGATGAACAAGCTCATAAATGAGTTTATTCGTGAACATAAACGAACCGAATGCACCTTTGTTCGTGTTCGTTCGTTTATTAAATGAACATAATTTTTTTTGTTCATACTCGTTTATTTAGCTTCACAAATGAACGTTATAAGGATAGTACACCAGTGGCGGATCCAGAAATTTATAAATGGGGGTCCAAAATTTTAATTTTCTTTACTTAAAAATAATGGGGGTGCAAATTTTTTTTATGTTTTCCATTTTTCTTTAACATATTATACTAAATTTTATTTTCCCCCCTAAATAATGGGGATGCACTTGACCCCTATGGGGCTTTGTGCATCCGCCCCTGTAGTACACGAACAATATATCGAACACTCTATTCATTTACATACCTAAAAAAAAACTTACATAAGAAAAATATTATTCTAACTGAATTTGCTTTCTTAATCAACATAAAAGCGAAAGAAGAATCAAATTATGAAACAAATTATACTGCTCTGTACCACCATAGCTTCATGACATGATTCAAGAAGAAATTAAGTCACAACTCTAACGATGAGAAGTAGAGAATATTAGAAAATATAAATTTTGATTTGAATATACATTTAATTCTTTGTAAAAAAATATACATTTAATTCAATTTACACCGTTAATAAATTAAATATCCATAATAAATACATAAATAAAAAAAACGCTAGTGATCACGTGATGAAACGTATACGTTTTTGTATGTTAGCAGAAGATCACTTATAAACCTTTACTTCACTTATAAACCTTTACTTGGAGCAACACCGTCATCTTCCCTCCATTCTGTAATTATCAGCAACGCCGTTCCAAAACATTTCCACTGAAATCTCCACAAAATGCAGGGAAAGAAGGCGGAGGAGGGAACCAAAAATGCAAAGAAGGTCAATCTTTTCGATCACAATTCCCTCAAACACATGCTCGACGAATCGGTCTCGGAGGTAAAAAAAGAAAAAGAAAAGAAAAATCGATCAAAATAACACTTTGATCCATTAATTTTCACAATTTACTGCTCGATTTTGAATATTTAGTCCTGTTTTTATTTTGGAATCTGAATAGATTGTTACGAGCCGTGGATATGTGGAAGATGCGAGGATGAGCAATGTCAGATTATTCATTGGAACGGTTATAATTGTAATCGCTCTATTTGCTGAATTTTACAAAAAGAAGTTTCCTGGAAACCGTGATTTCCTCATCGGTTGCATTGTATTATATCCTTTTTCTTGTCACTGATTTATGATTGATTTTTATTCTAAAACTTGTTATTTTCTTTTATTTTAATGGCAACAAAGAGTATTTTTTAAGAATATTTAGGATAAATTTGAATTTAATTTATTGGAATAATTTTTAATTGAAGATTTGTGATGATAAAGGAGATATAATCTAATTTAGGTTGTGTTTGGTAGTTAATGTTGTTATTTAATAGAAGCAGATAGTAACACAGAAATTTACTTACTGAAATGAGTAAACGTAATGCATATCTATCCATATTTGATCCGTATGAAAGTGAAACTAGAAATATTGTTGTTAAAAAATAAATTTTAATTTAGTTATGTGAAACTAGATTAGCTTTTCTAACCAAATGAACTTTTTATTTCATGTTTCCAGGTGTAAAGCAACAACTAGACGTAGTCTTAGTTCGCCAAATATATTCTTTTGGTTTCTTAGATTTCATCTTGCTTTTCTTGGCAACCTGATAGTGTGTAATCTTTTACGTTACTTTCATGTTTGTTTGATCCTTGACACTGGCAAGTATATAGTTTTCAATGTAATACTTCAGCTGATCAGCTACACAAACGAAAAAAATGCAATTATATCGACTTATCCTCCCGCTGTAAGTTCCTTTGCTTTCTAATTGAACATTTTCTTATATCTTACTGGCATGATGGTGTATTCTTGGGTTTACAACTTGATGAGAAACATTGTCATCTACTATGGGTCCAAGATTATAATGGGAAGTTGTAAAGTATTCGCTACATAAATGAAATTAAAGGATTGCGTTGCGTCTATGATGAGCTCAGATCTGATGCTTTTATACCTCATCTTTATATTTGCACAATGTTACCAATTTTTGGTGTACTGCCAATGCTTTATAAGAAAATGTAATAATAACTAGCATCCAATAGATACATGGATTCTTAGCGTTGCTCAAGGTAGTTATAACTTGTATTTCTTGTACAAACTAAACATAAACAAACACCCATCATTGCCCTTTGAGTGTGCTGGTGTAAAAGCCTCGCATGTGTTATTTTCTACATCTAAGCTCTGATTTCATGTTTGCAGGGATCTGTCACCAGCACCGGATTGGTGGTCTCTTCGAAGTTACCGAGATTCTCTGATCTTTATACGCTTAATATAAAGAGTGGAGATCCCAGGTCAATATCTGCAGGCAAACCAGTAGAGTTTTCTAAAAGTGTTACCCAGTGGTATCTCTCCCTTCTCCTTTACATTGCTCTTTACCATCTGGGTTTTTTAGCCATGTTACTCGGACTTTTCATATTTTTCAAGTATCAATGTCGGACCCATATATGCAAAAACTCTGCCAGTTTCTGGCGCACTCAAGACAAGTAAAATATGCAATCCTTTTTGACATTTATAACCTGTTGAGATATTGCAGGTTCACCAAGGATGGAGTACTGGTGGAGGGCCTATTCTGGAAAGATGTTGAAGCACTAATTGATGATTATCTAGGAGAACCGAAGAAAAAGAAGTGATCGAAGCAGAATGGTTTACGTTGCTAGGCCACTTCGTTAAAACTGTGAATTCTGGCACTGTTGTGGGTTTGATATAGATTTTCATTATAATTATTGTTCTTTTCAATATTTTGGTAACTTTGCCTGAAAGATTAGGCCCGCGATTTACATGCTTAGTCCTTAAAGGAGAAAAGGTGTTCGCTTGGAATTAATTCAACCACTACACTACGAGTTATGTTGACGGCCTATTAAAACTTCACATTGATAGATAAAAATCTAGAATGGTCCCTTCCTTATAAGTCACCCCTATAATGTCAAATCTCTAGAATTCTTTGAGTATTCGAAATTTTACAATCTTTTAAAATTTTATATCCTTAAGTTAATTACCCTACTTAATATAACCGTTGACAGGTCTATGTGTTCTATCAATTAAGTCTACTTCAAGCCAAATCTATTTACTCTATCAACTTATAAATAATCATCACCACTTTAGATATGACACTGACACTAAAGATAAGTTTATAAATCACTCTGTAAAGTTAGGGAAAATGAGCTCTTGGACTCTCTCCTATCGTCTTCTACAACTCATTTCTTCTTTATTAACCGTGATTTACAATTCTTTATTTGAATTAAAAGAGATAAATCATAAAAAAGCCATTATAATCCTTTCTCCCATCAACAAACTTTGTAATTAAATTTTAAATTGTTTTCTTCTATATAAACACATTCCTCAGTCTCAAATCCAAAATTTGACCATCAATTTTATTAACGCTATGCAAGTGAGCATTTGCATACTTTTGGAAAATGACTTTTAAAAATGTGATAGAAAAGAACTTTTAAAAGTGTTGTTTAGGAGTGTAGTTTAAAATTTAACTGTTTGGGATTATAGTTAAAAAATGAGTTTAAAAGATAAAATGTCCATTATAGACATCACGTTGTAAAATAAAAATATATAATTTAAATTATATTTTACTCTTATTAATAATATGATATATAAAATATATCACTTAGACTATAATAAAAATATAAAAAATGTTTTAAGATATCTTATTAATAATATTTTTATAAATAGAATATTTTATTAAAAAAATATATTATCAATATTTTTTAACATGTGGATATAAAATATTTTATTAATATTTTGATATATAAACCATGAATTTTATTTACTTTTAAATAATTAAAATAAATTATTAAGTAATAAATTATTTTTTAAGGATGTTAATATTAAAGTATTAAAATAAAATATAAATACATAATTGAGCGGAACACATGCATTAATAAGGGTAAAATTATAATTTGCACCCAAACACAAAGTTGAAAATGAAAAAGTTACAAATTCAAGTTTTTGCGGTTGGTTTGTGTTGAGATTTATGATGCTCTATCGATCAACCGAATTGCCAAGAGGGGGTGAATTAACCATTTTAATTTTTTAGGAATAAAGGAGAAAGGATAGGCAAATTGGCTTAATGATTTATAGTTGTTCAACTTCCTCAATAAAGTCTACATCCAGTACCTTAGCTCATCGCTAAGGATTTCTAACAAATTCACTAATGTATTCTATCTTTTTTTAGGCTCAATAGTAACTTTTACAAATTCCCTATCTTTTAAAATGGCTAAGATAGAACCAAAATCCATTTTTACCAATGATAAAAGATTGTAAACAAGAAAAATTCTTAAATGAAGGTGTTTACACAATTTAGCTCACTAAAGTACTCTATGTACAAGAGAAAAGGAAAAATAAGATTGAAAGAGTTTTTTTCTTGGTATGGATTGCTTGGATAGGTGTTGTAAACTTCTTCAAGCATTCTCAACTTGTTTTTATATGATGGAATGTGTTTGTAGTCGTTGGGGATGTTTTAGAGCCGTTGAGAACTTAATTGCTGCAAAATAAAACTGTCCAAACCAAAGAGTATTGGTACTCAGGCTTGGAGTATCGACACTACACTAATAAAAACTAGTCATTTTTCGACCGTTGGGATGGGAGTATCGTTACTGAGATCACAATATCGATACTACTATACAAAATAGTATCGATACTCCTTTGGGTATTGATACCAAAAATGTCTACTAGAATCTGAACACATTTAAAACAAATAGGAAATATCGATACTGTTATGAGAGTATCAATACTTCCCTTACCTTGGTTATCAGTACTACAAGAACATTATTGATATTGTTCATGTGGTACAATATTGATATTTCTTTTCCAGAAAATCATTTTTGTGTTCAAATTCAAATTTTATGAGCTTTGAATTATTTTTGAAAACTTTGAATAAATTCAATTTAGTCCAAAACATTTTCGCCCTCAAAATTGTTATATCAAAATAGGTTCAATAATCTCCCCTTTTTATATAACAAAACATTTGGAAAAAATGGTTTTGGCAAAACTCCACCTTAATAAAACATTTAATGAAAAAGAGTAATATGTTGGAAAGATATTAAAGCTCCCTATTTTCATTCTTGAAATTGATTTTTTCAAACATATACTTCTCCCCCTTTTTATTATATAAAAAATAATTCAAACATTTAAGTTCAAAAACAATAATAGAGAGTAAGTAAAAATTTTAACATAAAGATCATTAAGTAAACATTTGAAACTTTTTGGGTTAATTTCAAATTTTTGGGAAGTTCAAGGACCTAACCTTGAATTATCCCATTTTTTTAGATGGGTGGTTGAGGAGTGTTGAACCCTGACCCCAGGAATGGACGGTCATGCCCCTACTAACCTGGCTAGGAAACTATTTTTTATAATAAATAATAAATTTTTAATTTATAATATATGTATTAGGTGTTAACCCATTTTGTTAAAAAAAGCCCCGGTTTGTGAACCAAGTGCCCAAAACCCCCCACCGTGCATCACCTTTCCTATGTCGATACACCCTCCTCTGGTCGGCGGTACATGTCAGCGCTCATTACAGTGAAGATGTCGTCGCATGTCGAGCAAAAACATCTCTGTCTATTCGTCATCGTTAGCCGTAGAGAACCGTTCGAAGATCGTCGAAGAAACCTAGGTCACAAGTCGATTTTGCTTCGAATCTAGTTGTCTCGCTCATCGGCTTGCTTCACCGCCTCCACTGCTGAACTCCCCATTCTCGTCAGCTCAAAACCCAACCATTGGGTCACTCTGTCGCCGTCGTTTTCCCTATCGTCTACGTGGGTAAGCGTTTTAACCTTACTCATTTTTTTTCGATTGATTTAGTTGGTTTTGAGCATTGATGTTGCTTGGATTTGATGTTTGGTTTATCGTGGAGCTATCATCACCCCGACCCCGTCGCTGCCGTCACGTACCGCCGCGTGCGCGTGAGGCTCGTCCTCCACAACCATGACCCTTCTAGAAACGATCCAAGTGGACCGAACCGACCTGACCCGAACTGGTTTGAACCGGTCTGATCCACTGACTTTGACCCAACCGTTGACTTTTATCTGACCGTTGACTTTCCCGTTGATTGTTGATTGTTGACTTTGACCAAAAAGTCAGATTTTCTAAAAAGTCATATTTTATGTTTTTCGACGTCCTAACTTAGAATCCGAAGTCCGTTTTGCCAAATTCGAACATGAAAGACTCTAAATTAGTCGTTAAACCCAAGCATGCATATGTAATTTAAGTATTTATTTCAGTGCATCAAATATAACTGAGTTGTCGTATATTTAAGGTACTCGTGGATCTCCTAACCATTCGTCTGCTCGTCCCTATTCCTCCCGATCTTTCCGTTAGCGCGAGCCCGTGATTACCTGTATAGTTCTGTAACCTTGTTAAATATTCAGTTTAGATTATTCCTCCGATTATAACCCTGTTCTGATATGACTTAGGTTCTCGTACAGTCGAAGAACGTAGTGAAGTTGGTGCTCGATAGATATTTCAGACTATTTCTTTTTGTGATGTGTGTTCCTTGTGTGCTATATAACTGTTTTAAATATCTTTTTGAAATACCATGTGCACATGCTTATTTTCTTTGATTTGAAATGAATTGTATGCTCTGATTTGACTACCGTATAACTTATCTGATTTAAGTATGATTCCTGATTTACTATATTTTAAATCATGCTTGCTTAACGTATGTTCTCTAGTTACTATTTTTACCCACTGGTTACTGTCTGAAAAATGTTTTTCTTCGGGGTACTCTGGGATCTGGTATGAGGTCTCTACAAGTTCAATTCTGATCAAGCTAGTAATTTCTTATATAGGTTCAGCTCCGATTAGCTGGTAATTCCTTATGGACCTAAGATGACCCTTAGGTGGGCTCTTGGGCCCAATGGGCCTAGTGGTAAGACCTTATAGACCCTAAGTTACTCCCTTAGAGTGACACCTCTGCTATGTGCATTGGGTAAGTCCTTGTGAGCCTGAGGGCACACCCCTCAGGTGGGCACCTACGCTTTGGCTAGGGTAAGACCTTATGGACCCAAGGTGCTCCCTTAGGTTGGCACTTATGCCCTTTGGGCCTAGGGTAAGTCCTTAAGGTTGCCTTAAGGCAAGTGGACCGAACCGATCTAAACTAGTTTGAACCGATCCCAGTCAACCCAAATTGACCCAAGTCAACCTGAACTGGTCCGACCCATTGACCTTGACCCCCAACCGTTGACTTTGACTTACCTGTTGACCGTTGACCAAAAAGTCAAATTTTCTAAAAAGTTATATTTTATATTTTTCAACGTCCTAAGTTCGAATCCGAAGTATATTTTACCAAATTCGAACCTGAAAGCCTCTGAATTGGCCGTTAAACCCGAACACATATATGTAATTTAAGTATTTATTTCAGCGTATCAAATTTAACTGAGTTGTCCTATATTTAAGGTACTCATGGATCTCTTGATCATTCGTTTGCTCGTCCCGATTTCTCCCGATCTGTTCGTTAGCGCGAGCTCGTGATTACCTATATAGTTTTGTAACCTTGTTAAATATTCAGTTTAGATTATTCCTCCGATTATAACCCTGTTCTGATATGCCTTAAGTTCTCGTATAGTCGAAGAACGTAGTGAAATGGGTGCTCGGTAGATATTTCAGACTGTTTCTTTTTTCGATGTGTGTTCCTTGTGTGCCATATAACTATTTTAAATATCTGTTTAAAATACCACGTGCACATGATTATTTTCTTTGATTTAAAATGAATTGTTTGCTCTGATTTGACTATCGTATGACTTATCTGATTTAAGTATGATTTTGGATTTACTGTATTTTAAATCATGCTTGTTTAACACATGTTCTCTGGTTACTGTTTTTACTAATAAATAAGTATGTATGAACTCTGATTTCCTGTTACCACTGGTTATTGTCTGGAAAATGTTTTTCTTCGGGGTACTCTAGACTCTTGGGTGGGATTTTGGGCCTAATGGGCCTAGTGGTAAGACCTTATGGACCCTAAGTTACTTCCTTGGGGTGACACCTCTACTATGAGCATTGGGTAAGTCCTTATGGGCCTGAGGGCACACTCTTCAGGTGGGCACCTACGCTTCAGCTAGGGTAAGATCTTATGGACCCAAGGTACTCCCTTAGGTTGGCACTTATGCCTTATTTGTTTAATCTAATTTAACTTACAATAATCTAAATTGTTATTAGGAAAAAAAATTGAGAACATCAGATTATCATTCTTTAGTTTGACATCTACATGATTAAATATTTAATATATTTTTATATTTTTTAAATTAAATTACTTATTTTTATATGAATCAAAATATTATTATTCAAAATTAATCCTTATTAGGCCAACGCAGTCTCTTCAACCAAATTTTGATCATGATGCTTTAGGTCCGCCTTATTATAAGGCCTTTAGAACCTAATTCTTTGGATTATGTCATTAAGTCTTTCTTATTAAAAAAATCAAGTTAATTGCATCCCATGTCCTCAAAGTATAACTCTTATTTTAAATTAATCTCTAAACTTTTAAATGTTCCCTAAACTATGACTATTATTCTAAATTAATCCTCAAACCTTTGAACATTTCAATTCCATCCCGAAACTATGACTTGCATTCTCAATTGGTCTCCAAGCTTTTTGAACATTCTAATTTCATCCAAAACTATAAGTATGTACTAAGCATATCCGTTGTTAATAAATTGTTAGACCAAGTTATACTATTACATGTTTCAAAAAACGGAAATTAGGTTAAGCTATGATTGAAACTAATTATATATTTGGATGAGTTTGGGGATGAATTTAGAATATTTAAAAGTTTGAGGACCAATTTAGAAAAAAGATTATAATTTAAGGATGAAATTAAAATATTAAAAAGTTTAAGGATTAATTTAAAATAAGAATGATGAAATTGGAATATTCAAAAATCTAAAGATAAATTTGAAATGAGGGTTATAATTTGAGGACATATAATACGATTAACTTAAATAGTTCATGTTACCATGTTTTTTATTAAGTAGAGAGGTATTTACATATTAAGGAAAAAATCAAAATTAGAATTCACATTGAATAAGACGATATGAGCATCACTGACCAATTAATGTATCTCATATTATCATATTTTTAATTTAAAATCAATGATTAAAGCATAAATAATTAAAAAATTTAATGATAAAATGAAAAATATTTAAGCTGAATAACTGAACTAGGAAAATGATAAACGTTTAGTGATGAGAAGCCTAATATACTCAATAGCAAAAGCCGCCATCGCATTAGTTGAAACCAAAAAAAATTAACTGATCATATTCTCATATGTAATGTGGTAAGAGAGAAGTAGGATAGTAGGCTGCCCCAACACTAAATTGAAAATAACTTTCGTGAGAGACCTCCGACAGTCAAAATTATAAATTATCCACCATTAGACTCAAATCCCACGATCACAAAATTAAAAAAACTTACGTTTTACCAATTAAGTTGGATGGACAATTCCATTAATTAAACAAAAGGCACATAATAAAGGCAGCCCTTTTTTCCGATGAAAAGTAAGATTTTATTAACGAAGGCATATTTAACACGTGTCGTATTAAAAAAAACTTAAAAAGATCACAAGTAGTAAAATAAAACTAAAGCAACAAGCCAACCCTTTTTTTTTGAGCGAGAACAAATATTTTTTCCTCCTTTCTTTAAAAATTATATCCAAATATTTTTTAGTATTTCTGCTGCAGCAATCAATTATTATCTTCATCCACTACCACAGCATCTGCTCGCGGCAAAAAGTACTCGATTCCACCTCCTCTGTATTGGGTTAAAGTTGTTATTACCTATTGTTTGATCATTCTGTATTGTCTTTTTTTGTTATATGTTCTTCAGATTAGATCAGCTAACTGAGTTTTGCATGTGATTTTTTTTTTGTTCATGATTCGTCCTGAAGTCTCAGATTCAGGGGTTTTGCTTAATGCTTATGTTGGTTTTATGGTTAATTAAATGTTCAATTTTTCTCATAGTTTAGCTAGCCAATAGTTGTTCAGTTGATTGGATTTATGTTTTCCATAGACCGCCATTAATGATGAATATAAACTGTTTCAAATCCCCAAAATTTTAGAGCTGTTCGTTGAATCTGGAATGATTTTATTAGAAATTGTGTTTTTTGGTCATTTGTTTTAACATCTTTGAGCAGTTAATATTAGAAAATCTAAGTGAGGAAATTGAATTCGAGCTCAGCCCTAGAATTAGATAAAGAAGATTAGTGTATCAAAGTTCCAAAATGTCAGAGCTAATTTCATTGAATTTGATTCTGAATTGTGCGTTTTAGTTGTTTGGATCATGTTTGAGCGATTAACATTGGCAAATGAAATTTGGGGATTCCATCTTGAATATGGATGCTGCTAAACACTTGGCAATAAAAAATTCTCCTTTCTTTGCTGTCCAAATGATAGTTTTTAGTTTTTACCCATTTTTAGCACTTGAGAAATTGTTTACTATTTGCGAGGTTGCCGAGTTCTTATTAGAGTTGAAGGCATATACTTTTTATCTGGTAAACTTGATAGGTTGATTTGTAAGATACATGGTAATGGATTATTCGAGGCATATATATGGGTTTCGTGTTTGTATTTTAAGCTGATACATCCATAACTTTTGTTCTTACTAATTTTTTCAAGGAACTGATTGAAAATCGGGGGTTACCAACCAAGGAATCGGCTTGGATTAACTTGTACTTGCACCGGTTGCTGGCATGGAATCTCAGTTAGTCATGCACAGTGGTGGTTGCCACTGCAGGAAAGTAAGGTGGCATGTCCGAGCACCGACTAGCGTTGTTGCTTGGAAATGCAATTGTTCTGATTGCTCCATGAGGGGAAATATTCACTTCGTTGTCCCAGGCGAAAGGTTCGAGCTTTTGGGAGATTCCAAGGAGTTCCTTACTACGTATACTTTCGGAACTCACATGGCGAAACATACGTTTTGTCAGGTATGTGGAATAACATCATTCTATACCCCGCGATCAAACCCGGATGGCATTGCCGTGACCCTCAGATGTTTGGACCCCGGAACGCTTTCGCACGTCGAGATTCGACATGCTGATGGGAAGAATTGGGAGAAATTCTTCCAAGAGAGTGGCATTGCTTCAGAATCCAAAATTCGTTCCACCTAGGTAATTAATTTAGTTCACTTTGTGATGGACTCCATGGGTAGCATATTAGTATGGTTTCTTGAATACTCTATTTTAGAAGTTAGGAGAAACATTTTTACATCAAAATTCCCCTTATTTATAGCTTTGGAACTAAGAGTGTAGATGATCGTTGACTGAGATTGTGGTTTAATGCTTTGCTTGTGCTGTTTGTCTGCATCTCCACAGTCCTATTGATTGATTCAGTTTTGGTTGCCTTAAATTTAAGAGTCAGTCTAAAAAGTTAATAAAAAATGCTTTTCCCATAGGTGCCTAAACTTTCTTTTGAATCATCCCGGTGTCTAGTGTTACAAACGTTACTACTTTAGGTGACCAAGTCGTAAATGCCGTTAAAATTCTTGTTGTTAAAGGATATGTGTCATGTTCTAGTAATTTTCAAAATTTTATATAAAATTAAAAAAATTAAATTTTTATTTAAAAAACACAAAAAATTCGAAATAGCCTCAAAACTTTAAAAATCCTTATTTCAAACCCTAAACCCACATCATTAATGCCATTTACCGTCGACGAAGCTCTACTCGACCTCACTTCCCCTTAATAATCAATAACCTTATGAAATCGAGACCAATCGACATTTATACCCTACTCATTCTAAGGTGAAAATTTCGATCCCATGTGATCCTAACGATTAATCGACGACAATTATGACGACGTATGACTACGAAGATGGTAGAGACTACGCTGGCAGTAGTGGTCGTGACTGGCAAGGGTTATGTTGGTGGGTTAGGGTTAGAGATCTATGCTTTTTAGGGATTGAATTTTTTTATAATTTAAGAGAAATTATGGTTTTTTATAAATGTAATAATACTTTGAATTTTTAAAAATAAATTCAAAATTACCAGAGCATGAGAAATGTCACTTGATGAAGAAAATTAACGATAATTATGACCTGTGCACCTAAAATGATAAAGTTTGTAATATTAGCCACTTGAATGTTTCAAAAAATGTTTGGGCACCTATTTGAGAAAAGTGTTATAGTTTGGGCACTTATTTTATAATTAAGCCAAAAAAAGTTAAACTGCATATTTAATCACCTAACTATTTCCACAATTCTGTTTTGATTATCATTTTTTAAAAAACATATTGATTACATTTTGATCGTCCATCGTTGTGTGACTAAAACAAAATGATGGGAATCGTTGAGTAACTAAATACATTATTTAGCATGCTTTTAATATTTTAATTTTAAACTCATCCTATGACTTCAGTGGTAAAAGAGAATGTTATTCTCTCTATATGTCCTGAATTCGAGCAGTTGTGTCTACATGGTGTGTTTGCATTGTCGATATGTTAAGATGGTTATGAACATATACTACTTTATAATTAACTTAGACTATTGAAAAAATAAGCAAATTTAGTGCCTAAACTATTATTAAAATGAAACTTAAATTAAACATTAGTATAAATTAAAAAAAATGAAATTTATGTACTAAAATGAAAAATAATAATAATTTAGGTACTCTTCTTTATATCATTTCTAAATAAAATTGGAAATTTATTTTTTTGTAAATTAAAGAAAATTGGTAAAATATATTTATAATAAAAATAGCGAATTAATTTTCTCATTCACTTAAATAACATAGTAATAGGTGTTGAAGTAAATAATAATAATAAATTTTACAAAATCAAATATATATCATCGAGGATAAACGAACAATAAGCGATTTATATTGAATAAAAAGGGAACAATCATAAATTACAAGAAATATTTTTAAGGGTGGACACACACATATTAACTATTGAAATTTTTAGTATTGGGTTGGCACAAAAAAATTTCAAGGTTGACACCAATAGTAAAATGAATCACTAATATAAAGAAATTCGGATTTTATGGTAGGCACATACCCACTCTAACCATGCTTTACATTCGCCACTACTTTAATTAGTAACACCCTAAATTTCAAGCTAGTAGTTTTGGGTTTACCCAAGAGATATGTGGACCCCGTGAATTTCATAATTTAAGTCGTTGGGTTTAATTAGGTTGGAATTAGGCCAAATTAACCTTAAAAATGAGATTTTTAAATAGTTGAAGGATGAGGAAAGACCAAAAGAGCGATTATTCTGTTTTGAAATATAGAACCCTTTTATCTCTTTTCATCTTCTCATTCTTTTCATTTTCTTCATTTCTCTTCATTTCTCTTCTTCTCTTAGACTTCATAGCTTCAAGTGGATGGTAAAAACACTTTGTTGAAACATTTTAATATTTCGATATAACAAATTAAGTTAAATGGATTTTAAGATTTTCCAAATGATTTTCTAAGTATATTCGATATAACTATTCGAATATCAAAACATTACTCCAAATATTTCAAAAATCATTTTTAATTCTTACTTAAGTGTAAAATTAAGTTTTAATCATAAAACAATTTCAAAATAATCTTACAAAGTATTTCGAACCAATTCAAAGCCAAAAATTACAGATTGCTCAGAGGGAACCGATTCCCCCCCATAGGAGGAACCGATTCCCCCTAAATGGTTTTGGCCCCGAGATTTCCAGAATGCTCGGAGGGAACCGATTCCCCCCATAGGAGGAACCGATTCCCCCCTAAACAGTTTTGCTCCGAGAATTCCAGTATGCTCGGAGGGAACCGATCCCCCCCAAGGGGGTACCGATTCCCCCCTTGTACAACGGTCAAAATATTTGAATTTTACACTTAGGAACCGATTCCCTTCAAGGGGGAACCGATTCCCCCTACGCTCCAAACTGTTTTATTAAATGTTTTCACACTAAAACGGCTATAATAGCTTCTCTAATCATCCCCAACGTTCAGAAGTGATCCAAGGTGTATTTAAGCAAGCTTAGAAGCCATTGATCAAAAACAAGAAACATCAAGCAACTAGAATCAAGAGAGAATCAAAGAAAAAGCATCAAACCTCAAGTTTGAGCATTTCAAGCCTATTTTCATTCAATATTCATTTTGCTTTTAAGAACACTTTTTGTGCTCAATTGTATTCATCTTTGAGTGTTCTTTTCTTTGTTCTAGAATTGTGCAAACATCTTACCTTGTGAGGTTTTCTTGTAAGTTTGCAAATTTGTAATCTCTCTTTGAGAAAGAGTGTTCTCAAGAGTTGGGGTATACTCTTGAGGGAATTGTAAGGTTATCTCTTTGGCCTCAAAAGAAAGAACAAATTAGTGAATTTGTTGGAAAATCCTTAGTGTGGATAGCTAAGGTAGTGGACGTAGACTTTGTTTGAGAAAGTCGAACCACTGTAAATCGCTGTGCAATTACTTTCAATTTTCTGCAAAAGCTTCCACAAAATTTTTTATTGCCAATTCACCCCCCTCTTGGCCAATTTCGTCATTCGATTAACTCAACAATTGGTATCAGAGCCTAACTCATTTGAAGGTTTAATCGCCTCTTGAGTCGATTCGGGAAGAGTTATATCGATTATTAAAGTCATCAATGGCCTCCGCTTCAAACTTCGACTCCGGTCTCGATTCGATGCCCGTCAACAAGCCTCCTTTCTTCAATGGAGCTAACTATGCCTATTGGAAGAATAGAATGATGTACTTCATTCAAGCAAGTGACATGGGAGCATGGAATGCTGTAGAAGAAGGATACATCAAACCTCTCACTCATCCAAGGTTGTGGAGTGAAGGAGAGATAAGAATGTTCCAGCTCAACTCCAAAGCCATCCATATTATTTTTTGTGCTCTTGGACCAAATGAATACGGAAGAGTTTCATCGTGTAAAACCGCCAAAGAAATATGGGACAAGCTTCAAGTCACACATGAAGGTACAGATGAGGTAAAGAAATCAAAAATTAGTATTCTAACGCATAGCTATGAAAATTTCAGGATGAAACCAAATGAAGACATCAAAGCTATGACGGATAGATTTTCAACGATTGTCAATGGTCTCAAATCATATGGAGATCATCTCAATGAAAAGCTTGTGAGGAAGTTAGTCTACTCCCTCCCAAAATCATGATAATCAAGAAGACGGCAATCATCGAGTCTAAGGACCTATCGTCCTTAACTCTTGAAGACTTATCGTTCACTCCTCACTCATGAGATGATGCTTGAAGATGAGGTGGACCTTGATAAAGTTGAAGAGACACCAAAGGAGAAGGAGAAGAAGAAAAACATTGGAGTTGCTCTCAAATCCACAAAAGATGAGAGTGATTCTAATGATGATGATGATGACGAGGAAATGGCATTGTTTGCCAAACGGTTTAGAAAAATGATGAGACCTTACCGAGGAAGAAAATTCAAACGAAATGAAGGCCTCAAAGATGAACCAAAAGAGAAGGACCCGATCATTTGCTATGAATGCAAAAAGCCAGGGCATGTCAAATATGATTGCCCACAATTGAAGAAGAAGGGTCAATCAAAGAATAAGCACAAGGCTCATGTGGCTACATGGAGCGATGAAGAAGGTTCTGATGAAGAAGAACAAGAAGTAGCAAACTTGTGCTTAATGACATTTGGGGAAGATTCTAAGGTAACCTCTAACTCATCTGATTTTGATGATTTATCTTATGATGAGCTATTAGAGGAATATAATGGGTTGGGTTCGGATTATGAGAAATTATTTTTAAAATATAAAAATGATGTTTCAAAGTTAAAAAATGAAAATAAACTCATATCCAAAACCAACAATGATCTTGAAAGTAAAATCAAAGATTTGCAAATCAAACTAGAAGAGTTTGAAAGAAAAATTTAGATTTGCAAAATTTACTTTCAAAGGTCAATGATGATCATCAAAAGAAAATTGATGATCTTAAAACTTCTTTTGATAAAGTTGGAACAAAACGTTTTGAAAAAGGAGAAAATTCAAAATCCAACTTTGTTAGAAAAGATTTTAGAAACTACAATCATAGAAATCCTCAACGAACCTTAAATGGTAAAATCTTTAGAAGTATATGGGTTCCTAAAGGACTCATTACTACTAAAGATAAAGATATCCTACACAAATGGATACCTAAGGGAACTAGGATTTTGGAAACTAATGAATATGGACCCAAAAGAATTTGGGTACCAAAAATCAAAAATTAATCTATGTTTGTAGGGAAAGGAGCATTGCTACAAGGCACGGGAAACAAATTCAAATTCATGGTACCTTGATAGTGGATGCTCAAGACACATGACCGGAGACAAA